AGAGAGAGAGAGAGAGAGAGAGAGAGAGAGAGCGAGAGAGAGAGATGATATCGCTTAGAGTAATTTCGTAAAGCATTACATTAATACAATTCAGTATATGCACATGCAGCATCGATCTTCTCTCTCATGAAGAATATTCGCCCTCATCAATATCTCCACCGCGTGAATTCCTTCCGCTGCTGCACTTCCCTCTCCATCGCTAATGAGTCGCTCACGTATTTATCTACATCCCTAACTAAATAAATCATTAGGATACGGTATGACGGTGACGTTGGCGGCGGTGACGGTGGCGGTGACGGCGGTGACGGTATGGCCGTGACGGTGGCGGTGGTGACGGTGGCGGCAGTGACAGTATGGCCGTGACGGTGGCGGCTGTGACAATGCATGCCCCGGACGCTTGCTGGAAAACGCACACTCGCAGCGTCTGGTAGTACAAGTCTACAAGAGCCAATCAAGCGAATTGTGCACAATTATATCCCTTAATAGGATCCTGTACTATGGGTGAAATGATCATCTCAGGAGAGCAGTGGCGGGGAGGGGGGAGTCTTAAATTGACTACGTCACGAATTTTCTATGGTAAAATTTGTAAAATTTTTGTTGACATCTTTTTACATTAAAAGTAAGAACTAACGGGACTAAACGTATCGTCAAATTCTTACCTGATAAGATTGTTTCTCAACTAGTTAAAAATTCAAAAAACCTGGACTATTTGATATTATGTTCCTGCATGACATTAATTGTTTGCTATTGGCTATGTATGAGTCACGAGTGTATGTTCACATCGAACAATATAGTAAAGTAGGAAGTATAATGCTGCAATTTAACCATAAAAAGTGAACAGAATTACTTATATTTTGTGAAAAAGTGGAAATATTTTTTTAATTTGTACTATTTACGGTTACCTAATCACTTCAAGGGGAATGCAGAGAAAGGACACGAGTGAGTGAGAAAGAGGCTCAAGTGACGAAGATCATAGAATGAGTGGTGAACGCAGCGAGAAGTGCGTGCGAGCAAGAAGAGAGGGAGGCTGTGTAGCGGTTTTTTTTTTAGCCACTACGTAGACTTCCGAGAAAACTACCGACGAAATTAGCCAGTCAGTAATGAGATATGGTGGGCAAACACGCATGCACGCATTCCTAGGCTAGGGTCGGAGTGGGCGCAGCCAAGCACTCGCGGTTGCATGGCTCTGTATGCCTACCGCTCATAGGGTCTATGTCCCCCAGGGTACTGCCGGAACGTACCCTGGGTACGGTCCGGTATACCGGAACGTACCCTGGTAACTATCTGATATGGTTAGGGTTAGGGTTAGGGTTAGTGTTAGGGTTAGGGTTAGGGAGTAGGCGTAGGCGACTCCCTATAGACTCGTTAGTGGAGTAGACGAGGTACGGTCCGGCATATTAGATAGTTACCAGGGTACGTTCCGGTATACCGGACCGTACCCAGGGTACGTTCCGGCAGTACCCTGGGGGGCATAGACCCTATGAGCATTACGACCAGCATGCCGCTGTTTATACATCTGCGAGCCAAAGCCCCCATAATGTACGTGTTTTGCTCGTGTGCTAACTTCGCACACGCTCGGTGTGTATATGCGCATGCCGAGCTACGTACGCGGAAGCAGGAGGTGACACATCTCATGCTCATAATATATTCTGTGATAAATTGTTATATATAATCTATGAATAAAAAAATAAAAAATAATAAAAAATAAATAAATATCTATAAATATAATATATAATATCTTGTGATCATATATATGTTATTATGTCTTCACGACTCACGGCCTCGCTCATCGCACGTATCCAGAGAGTCCAGTGTTTCCCCTGAGTCTGTGAGGTGGTCAAGTTGTTCGGTGTTTGCCGCGTTTCGAGAGTCCCTTGCCCAGCTAGCGCGGTTTCAGCGCGAAATTTTTTGGTGAAAAAAATTGGTGCAATTTTGGTGCATTCTAAGCTATTCTGAAACGCGATTTTCCTCACATCGACCGCGTGTATTTCTGTGTAGCGGGTCTGAGATTTGAGCGAGGTGACCCGCCTCGCTCATGTCATGTGCAGGGAAACACGTACTGGAATCGATATTAGGTTTGACACACGCATTCAATGCTGTGTGGGGACTAAGGTTGGGTGATAGTATGATGAATATGTCAGAGCAACGGAACCTCAATCAGGCAATACATACATAACAAGACGACATCTTCAGCGTGCATTCTATCACATTTACAGTTTATATTCTCACATTTACAGTAAGATGTTTCTCACATTTACAGTTTGTTTTTCTACATTTTACAGTTTATACTCATTCACTTATCCATTTACAGCTTATTTCTTCACATTTACAGCTTATTTTCTCACACTTACAGTTTATTTCCACACGAAGCAGTCTTATAGTCATAATAACGCAGAATTCTTAATAATGCTCTGAATAATTATTACATACATGTGTTTCCTGACTCCTAGTACTATTCTATCTATCAATCTTATGTCATTCTAACCGACTGGCGAATTTAGTTTCGCTGTGTCTCTGCATGGAGTCATGCTGCATATAGAAAGCTTATATGCGATGATAACCCTGGGGCCCGTTGTTCAGAAAAAAATTAGTCCTTAACATTTAGTCTTAACACTAGTCTTAACACTCAACATTTTTTTTTTCTTCGTAGACCCGTTCGACAGCCAGGACATAAATACCAGGATCCTATAAACTATTGATAGACTGCTTGATAATACGCCTAGGTCTATGCTCTTGCCACTGCTCTGCGATGACTGAAATCAGCCGCACCTTGTCCTTCGTCTATATTGCTAGCATAATATTTTGCAACCTCGGCTCAATTAGCCACCTACGCGTGGTATGCTGCGAATGGCCTTCGTCAGTTAAAATTTTCAGCCACGTCCACATTTGACACGTCCCACACAGGCCACGGTCAAAGCCAAGATTTTCTGTTTTATCAACGCGTTTTCATTTTTTCTCGCCTGGTTCCTGATATTTACGCGGTTACTACCGCCGTAAAGAATAAGCTTTAGAAAACAACCAGATCGGATTAAAAAAACGCTTCTATATGGTAGGTGTCACTGGCATTTGTTTCCAGAAAGAGTATTCGGCAAATGAATGGTGTGGATGTTTGCTATAAGCTCTTTGCATATATTTCAGATCAATTCTCTGCTGGATTGTGATTATATGTGTAGAAAAAAAAGGATTAGGTATGAAGGCTATGAAGCATTTCAGGTGACATTTGACTTAATGTTTATTGAGCTACGTTTAAGGTGTTATAGGTAGACTAAGGTTAGTGTGGGGAATTGTCCTTGGTTTCTTGGCTTGTCACATACGATTCGCAGTATGCTCCCATAACACTTAACAGTAATATTAACTTCCCATTTTACGTAAAACATGACAATTTTTGCTAATATAAGCAGACAACATCACGAACGACACCACAACCAGTGGTATCAACAACGGGCACCCTACTAGTATATGTGTGTATATATATATATGTATATTATATCAAGAGCTATTATAATAATATTAATAATAATAATAATAATATAATAATAGGTATTATTAGCTTTTGATTATATATATGTATATATATATATACACATACATGTATTATATATACTCACTTCTCTTTCTCATCGTTATATCGCACTAACCCCATCCTCTCTGGCCGACACCCCACTCTTTCTCGTTCACGCTCTCAATTCGCCCACACACTCAACAGAGTGATATATTCCGTAGCTGCTAGTTTGTTCTAGAGTGCTGCTGTCAACTTATTACTCCAAGGTTTGATATAGTGATTTATCAGTGTGCCAGATGTAGACACGGTGGGTGTGAACTTTGCCCACGCCCCAAGGTTGCACCAGCCACATAAAATCCACATAACAGCTGTCATGACTAATGCTTAATACTAATAGCGACGGCTGCTGAATACGAATCAAGTGTACATAATAGAGATCTCTGTTATGTACTCTTTATTATATGAATACCAGCCAAGTCTCCGGAAATGGGGAAAAATCGCGGCACTACAATTCCGTGCAGTAGTGTATTATTTACAGGTTTCTTATGAGGGAAAATCAGACAAAAGGAGGTAATGGCCAGTTTGGGAAAAAAACGCAATAATTTAACAAAATTAATGATAATTTACATTCTTTGAGCTCCCCCTGACTACAGGAGCATTTTCAAAACGGCGATGTTAAATTTGACAACGGCGGTGCGCTACTGTGCCTCGTATGTATAAGAAACCTGATCTATGTGCGTAGTCTTGGCAACAACATTTACGAACATAGCTAGTGTTCACTTGCATAGCAGACACATGTCAAGTAGAGCCAGACCTGCTCCAGGCCGTAACGTCTTCTCAATCATCATCATCAGGCCGCAATTTCGTTATTATCATCACCATCGTCGTCGTTCAGCTGTCACCGCCATCATCATCATCATCATCATCATCGGTCGCGTCGTCATCTCATCATCGGTCATCATCACGTCAACCATCGTCATCGTTATCATCATCATGGTCGTTATTGTCATCGTTGTTGTCGGCTATCATCGCTCTGCTGCTGAGCACTGTTTGTTCGTCATTGTCATCGTTCTTGTATCATCATTTGCATCATAGTCAATTTCATCGTAATTAATGTTTATGGTTGGTGCTGTTTCCATCCGCATCATTCCAGCAGAACTTTGCTATATGTTAATAATATAAAATAATTAATTAAATATTTATGTATTATTTGTAAATAATGAGCACATGCCTGCCCACATCACCCTGTCTGACAAACCATCAACCATCTCCCCAATACTTTCCCCTGTCCCAGGCTGTTGTATCTCTGCAAGTCTTGAAATGAGGAGCTGTGACCTGAAGGCCCCCCCTCGTGCACTAGGGTCCCTGTTATACAGAGATTGCGCCCAACTCAGGATTTGACGCCATGTTGTTTCTAAATGGATTCACACAGCTGCCGCTTAAGCAGCAGCGCTGTATGGATACGCTGTACAAATATCCGTAGTAATTAATTAGACTAATCGTGCTTCAATAAACTACAAAATCTAAAAAAACTAAACCGAAATTTACAGAGATTATAGCTAAGACATGTGTCTATGTGTATCTAGATTTCTAGAAATGTAACTCAAATTGTTCGCCGCCATATGATAATTTAATTGTACACTTTCTTACGGCCATAGCCTTGCGTATCTATTTGGAAACAACATAGTCGTCCAGCGACGCGATAGTTTTCCGACTCCGTCATGGCGCAACTCACCACTCTGTATAAGGGACCCTACGGTGCACTAGAGCAATATATAGCTCACAGCAATCGACCTGCGAGCATATAATTCTAGCGTGGCGGCGCCGCGTTTTTACTGCGCCAAACGACTCGCGAGTCGATGCTCACACATCAACCACGTTTGATACTTTTACGGCAGCTCGGCGATTGCTCGCGACCATTCGCAGCCGTAACCATCAACACCATTGTTCTTTTCTTTTTCTTACCATAAGTTGATCAGTCGGGTCGCAGTGGTTCATGGGACGGTGATTATTATGTTGGAATCGAGAGAGAGTGAGGTCACTCTAAGTGCGAGTAGCAAGTTCTGATTGCTCTAGTGTGGCCGGACACGACTCACAAGCCTACGTGCGAAATTAAGGCGAGTCGCGAAGTCAAATACTCCCTGATTTACTGTCGGACTCCCTGATTTGACATATGCAGGAGTCCATGTGACTCCCTGAAAATTCTGCTATACTAACTAGTTCATTCCAGAGCACGGCCTCGCGGAATTGCCGTATTTCTTCAGCAAATATTTGATTTTGAACATCAGACTACTGACTCCCTCATTTTGCTGGGCGGACTCCCCTCTTTATGAGGGCAGGGAGTCCGTTGGACTCCCTGGTTCAAAAGTCAATTTCTACCCCTGTGAGCTATATTGCTCTAGTGTGCGGTGGCCTTTACACTTCGCTTGCTCTCTTACAGGTGCCGGATCGGCCAGGCTGGAACCTGCTAGGCGAAAGTTCGCCAAATGAAGCATGGATGCGCACAAACTCGATGTCAGGCGACAGACTTCAAGACGATCTCTTTATTGATGAGGAAGTGGTAAGCGTGTGTGAGGTTACGCGTGCATTGATCGGCGATCGAGACCTGTGGCCCGTTCACTTACGTTTTGTGGAAGAGTTTTGGGCAGGTAGAAGATAGAGAGGTGATGTTGGCATGTTGTAGGAGGGCAGGGTGGATATAGGCGGTGAAGAGAGAGAGGAGAGAGGGGGCGAGAGAGGGTAAGAGAGAGAGAGAGCCGCGAGAGAGAGAGAGAGCAAAGAGAGGGCGAGAGGGGGACGAGAGGAACGAGAGAGAGAGAGAGGAGAGAGAGAGAGAGAGAGAGAGAGAGAGAGATGAGAGCAGAGTAGAAGAGAGAGAGAAGCGAGAGGCGAGAGCGAGAGCGAGGCGAGAGCGCGAGAGCGAGATTGCGACGGGAGAGAGAGAGAGAGAGAGTAGAGGGGGAGGGCAAGAGAGGGTGAGAGAGGAGAAAGAGAGAGCCAGAAGATCAAAGAGTGAGAGATGAGAGAGGGGAGCAAGAGAGAGAGAGGGAGGGAGAGAGGAGAGAGAGAGAGAGAGAGGAGAGAGAGAGAGAGAGAGAGAGAGGGAGGGCAGAGAGGTGAGAGAGAGAAAGAGAGACAGGCAGCAGAGTGAGAGGAGAGCTTCGTCTGACGCGTTATCGCTCGATGTAATTGTAAACCACAGCGGCGCGATAATCGTTCCTTTTACCCTCAATTAGAGGTACATAGACCTGGCATTATTAGTGGACTAGGAGGCGGGTGTGTCTGCGAGAGGGAACAGCACAGGTATGGTCCAGCGCTGTGTTGATGTTAGTCGTTTGTGAGCGGGGTGTGCGTGAGCTGGAAGAGCACAAGGTACGGATGATGACAGTATGGATATAGTATGTGAATGGGTGTAATTGTAAGAGGGAAGAGCACAGGTACGTGATGATGCTTTTGATATAGTATGTGAATGGGTGTAAGCGTAAGATGAAAGAGTCAGCCTTTATAATAGTATGTGAATGGGTGTAAGCGTAAGATGGAAGAGCAGCCTTTTATGATAGTATGTGAATGGGTGTAAGTGTAAGATGGAAGAGCACAGATACGGGGTGATCGGACTTACACCAGTAGAGCTATGCGCTTCGTAGCTTGAGCTGTGGCGGGCGCGGGTAATAAAGCTGTCGCGATACGAGTGTCGAATCGTTTACAGCCGAAACAATTGGCTGTGTAACCTTAAGTTACAAACACTTCACTTGAAACTTTTTGTAAAGTTTTTTTACGTTGGGGGAGACATTTAGATGCCGCGTAAGTAAGTTGTAAATAGTGAGTAAAAATTTATTTAAGCGGCGGTAAAACATGTTAGGTACAGACGCAATAAAATGGTGCGGACCGATCTTCCACATGGCCGTCTCACAGCTCAATAGAACAGTTAAATATTTTAAAATAAATACACACGAAGAGTTGAAGTACTCGCGCATGTGTGGGTGGATGGGGGTGAGACTGGTGTATTTGGGGGACGGTGTGGGTGGGTATGGGTGAGACTGGTGTCTCTGGAGGACGGTGTGGGTGGGTAGGGGTGAGACTGGTGTCTCTGGGGGACGGTGTGGGTGGATGGGCGGTGAGGCTGGTGCTCTGGGGGACGGTGTGGGGATGATGGGGGTGAGACTGGTGTCTCTGGGGGACGGTGTGGGTGGATGGGGGTGAGACTGGTGTCTCTGGGGACGTGTGGTGATGGGGGTGAGACTGGTGTCTCTGGGGGACGGTGTGGTGGATGGGGTGAGAGACTGGCAGCTCTGGTGGCGGTGTGGGTGGTGTGGTGAAAACTGGTGTCTCTGGCACGGTGTGGGTGGGTAGGGATGAGAGCGTGTCTCTGGGGAAGGTGTGGGAGGATGGGGTGAGACTGGTGTCTTCTCTGGGGGACGGTGTGGGTGGTGATGGTGGGTAAACCTGGTGGTCTCTGGGGACCGGTGTGGGTGGGTAGGGATGAGACTGGTGTCTCTGGGGGACGGTGTGGGTGGGTAGGGTGAGACTGGTTGTCCTCTGGGGACGGTGTGGGAGGATGGTGGTGAACATGGTGTCTGCGAGGGAGACGGTGTGGGTGGATGGGGGTGAGACTGGTGTCTCTGGGGGACGGTGTGGGTGGATGGGGGTGAGACTGGTGTCTCTGGGGGACGGTGTGGGTGGAGATGGGGTGAGACTGGTATCTCTGGGGGACGTGTGGGTGGATGGTGGTGAGACTGGTATCTCTGTGGGAGGGTGTGGGAGGATGGGGGTGAGACTGGTGTCTCTGGGGGACGGTGTGGGAGTATGTTCACGTGTTAGCACGTGTACACCCACACGCGCACGCACACACACGCACACACACACATATAGATATATCGTATAGACCCCCCGTACGTACGCACATTATAGGCATGAATCGCATACGTTAATGTAAGCGAGTACGAGTCTGAAATTATGAGTGCCACGATCAATGAATGCGCGTAGACCGTAGAGGGATTCCACTGGTATTCGTACTGGTTTTTTTTTGCCGCGCTGTCGTTTCCTCACACTTCTTGTCTGTCTTTGCTACCAGAGATGTCAGATCATGAGGGGCATTTTGTTTCGCGGTACAGATGCTCTTGCTAGCCGTGTGGCTTCATCGCCGAGGAAAATGTAGCACATTGGAAAGATGCTGTAGTATGGTAACGGCCTCGTACCGTGCCGTGCCGTGCCGTACCGTGCCATGCCTGCCTGTGACGTCGTTATTTTACAGCCATACACACAGTCTGAATTATACACAGCGACTTATCGCGGTCGGTAATTGCACTGAGAATCGGCAGGGTTGGATGCAGATGGAACCTGTTTTAGTTTGTTGGGAGTCAAACGTCTGCTGTCCGCCACCAAAGCCGGCAGCCGTTATTTTTTACAGCGACAATTCAGTACAACAGCTTTTCTATATACATATACCATCTACATTAAGGTTACTCTCCACCTTTTACACGGTTATTGCTCTAATGAAGATTTATTGACGTATGAATCGAATCAATCACACGTTTTTTTTATAGAGGAGAATTGTTTAACTGAGACCCGGCGGGGGGGGAGTTAAGATTCCAGCATCCCCACCGGTTCTCATGGTGACTGCGAGTAGTGACACACACGGTGGTGTAATAATCAGCTGGCGCCATGATGCGCTGCCGGCAGCTGTGAAACGACGGCTTCGCGGCCGGCTAATTCACTGCATACACAAACTGACGCAATCCTTCGAACACCTATTCATGTATAAATATACGATGCGATACAAGTACGGACGTGAAGTCATAAATCTGACTCTGTGACAGGGTAAGAGGGCAGTTGGAAAGTTAGAGTCTAGTAAACTCGTTTAGTGTTTCGCAAATTCTTGAAGCCAGGAAGCGAAACGCGTGGGCGGCATCGACGCTACTTACGTTGGAAACACGATAACGGTTTGTTGCGCTCTCATCGCGCGATTCCGCGCACACATATGTTAGTGATCTGCGAATTATACGAGTAAAGGGTGGATTACATGTATATTTCATCTATCGTGTCATTATATATATATATATACGTGTGCGCTTTGCGAGATGGCTTCAACTCCACGAGCTTTTCCCACGTAAAAGTCAGATCACGTCCTGAGTGTGCGTACGACTCGTCAACTCTGTCCTCGCGTAGAATAATCCGCAAGGGGGCGTTGTTGCGCCGTGTACATTGTACACCCTGGCTGTGCAGCAACGTGGTACAGTACAGCGGTTGTCGGCGGCACGGTGGTGGGCCTGCTCTGTGCTGTGCTCCTCGTCATGTTCATCATCTACCGCATGCGCAAGAAGGACGAGGGAAGCTACGCGCTCGACGAGCCGAAACGATCGCCGCACATGAACCAGTACAACAAGAACCCGCCGAAGGAGTTCTACGCCTGAGTGGCGCCACCTAGTGAGCGGCGCGTGCAGCCGCGACGGACATTGTGTGTGCGACGGGAAGGCATTGCCAGGAGAGTGGGTGGAAGGAGGAGCTGGTGGTGGAGGAAGGCGAGGAGGTGATGGTGGTGGAGGATGTTGCAGTGATGGTGGAGGCATCGGTGACGAATAACTCTTTGAAAATCGACATTTCTCCACACCAGGCTGCGGCAAGGTGGATCCAGGTGTAGAACGCCTGCAGATTTGTCCTCCACACCTACAAATAGCTAGTGAGACGAACGAACGAACACTAGAGTGAGCGACGCCATCAGCAACACGATCTTACGTTTTGTTTCGTCGCCGGGGACGGCTCAGCGTCTGTAGATTTTCTTTGCTTCCATAGTGGCCACCTTCTACTGGCAGGACTTCCGATTGCATTATCGCTCCACGCACGGGAACGTGTTGTGTTTGCGATACCGCAGCTATCTGCAATGCTTTAACGCGGTGGTAGCGTGCATGGATGGCTGACCATTTCTCCTCTGCTCATGCCGTTGGCCGATGTTTCGCTACACACGTCGTCGTGGTAGATGTGCTCGGAAGAGGAATCGTCGGATACATATTTCTCACATTTACAGTTTATTTCTCACATTTACAGTTTATTTCTCACATTTACAGTTTATTAGCTCTTGATAATAAGCAGAATTCTTAATAATGTCTGATAATTATACATGTGTTCCTGACTCCTGTAGCTATTCTATCTATCATCTATGTCATTCTAGCGACAGTTTCGCTGTTCTCTGCATGGAGCATGGCTGATATGGAAACTTATATGGATGATAACCAGGGCCCGTTGTCAGAAAGAAAATTAGTCTTAACATTAGTCTTGACACTAACATTTTCTCGTAGACCGTCGACAGCGCTTTGTTTCGTATTATTATGAGGAAATCTGCTACGATTTTTCATTCTCATAATACCAAGAGTCTATCAATATTGATAGACTCCTGATAATACCTAGGTCTAGCTCTTAATTGCAACTGCTCTGCGATAACTGAAATAGCCCCCTTTTCCTTCATCTATATATGTAGCATAATATTTGCACGTCGGCTCACTTGCAGCACCTACGCGGTATCTGCGAATTTGCCTTCGTCAGTTAAAATTTTCAGCCACGTCACATTTCACACGTCCACACAGGCCACGTCAAACTTCAAAGCCAAGATTTTTCATGTTTTTATCAACCGTTTTCATATTTTTCTCGACTGTTCTGATATTTACCGGTACTACCGGTAAAGATAGCTTTAGAAAACACCCAGAATGTGATTAAAAAAAACGTTCTATTTGGTAGGTGTCACTGGCATTTGTTTCAAAAGAGTATTGCAATAATGGGTGGATGTTTGTATAACTCTTGCATATATTTCAGTCAATCTCTCTGGATTGTGATTATGTGTAGAAAAAAAAGGATTAGGTATGAAGGCTATGAAGCATTTCAGGTGACATTTGACTTAATGTTTATTGAGCTACGTTTAAGGTGTTATAGGTAGACTAAGGTTAGTGTGGGGAATTGTCCTTGGTTTCTTGGCTTGTCACATACGATTCGCAGTATGCTCCCATAACACTTAACAGTAATATTAACTTCCCATTTTACGTAAAACATGACAATTTTTGCTAATATAAGCTGACAACAAGCATCACGATCGACACCACAACCAGTGGTATCAACAACGGGCACCCTGCGAGTATATGTGTGTATATATATATATATATCAAGAGCTAATAATACCTAGAGTGTACAACGGAAAAACGGGAAAATAGTGCAATTTCACGACTACATTATTCTACTTTGCCTGCGAGTCTATAGAATAATTTCATGGTATTGCATTAAGCAGAATTGCTTGCTCTCTACAACAAGACCAACCGCTTGTCAATACGATACTCCTAGGCTGAGATATCGGCTCCTAAACCTCCCCTC